CCTAGTTACGGCTCTGATTACGGTTATTAAAATAAAACCAGAAGCTAGTTATAAAATTAAAAATGACATCGAAAAAATGTCACAAAATGATTTCAACAGAATGTATAAGGGAACAGATACAATTTTTAACATTTTTAATGATGAGGTAATATTTAATGACAAGTGAGACTCTTGATGTGAACAAAATGATTAAATGTAAGCTAAAATTTTAGGGAATGGCATAATAGTGATGATAGATATTATATGTAAATATTAATACAGTACTTTGTAATGCTTACCACCTAATTTTCATGTAATTGTGTATATGGATAAATGCACATAAAGTTTTTGTAATCTATTCCCATATTTTTTATTAAGTTATCACTCTTTGTAAAGAAAATATATTATATGAAAATGTCTATTCATTTGAATACTATTACTTTGATTTGTTATTTTTTCAAAGGTTATGTGTGCTAAAGCATGTACTGTACCACTTTGTATCTCACAATATCCTCTACATGTAAATAATGTATATAATAGACTACTATATGTAAATAATTTATGAGGTACAGTATTGTGAATTTTTATGTAAGTTGGTGGAAACAAATACCAACTCTTTAAGTAACTTATGTACGGAAAATAAGTTTTAATGTTTATAACTGCTACAGCATATTGCTGAGATGTAAGTTAATTAGCATTCAATAAACTTTTTTTTAAAAAAAAAATAAACATAAAAAACGTTAGAAGGGCATAAATAAACGATATAATCGTATTTTCTGATGGCAGTAATGTCATATTTTTATTTAAAAATAAGCAATTATTTTAAACGATCTGAGATTACGTTTTTTAGTTTAGAGCTAAACAAAATCTCCCTGAATCATTCCTGAATCATTTATGTGCAATTTGTCCCGCTAATCGGCACCACTGATTTATTTCATTAGAAGACTCCGGAATTACTAAACTTTTCATAAAAGATATTTTATTACTTATTCTTCGTTTTTTTTTTTCGTTTTTAATGTAGAACAGATTTATTTTTATTTTATTTTATTTACAAACCCAGAAAATGGCCTCAAATGATAACAGTCGAAGAGATAATAAATTTCGTGTTTCAACGACTATTAGAAGAACGTGTGATATTCATCATGGTAAATATGCCATATTGAAAAGCATGCTTTATTCTAAGATTTGTTATTGATTTTAATTTTACAAGCCAAAACTATCTTTCTATCGCCATTTGAAAGTTTTCTATGGGTACGTTTCTTATAGAAAGTCCTCCCGAGAGGCACTCCTCTCTTGGCAGATCGCCCAAGTTTAGCGTTGTCATCGATCTAATTTTTTTCATGTTGCTGTGATATATAACAGTCAATAAATTTTAAAAACTTTCTCTGATAACATTTTTTCAATGAACTCTTAATTATTCAGTTAACTCTCCATCATCTCTCCAACATTCAATGTAGCTTATCTGAATCTGAAAGATTCTTTGTTCTCTAGAATTAAGATTTTCTGCAGCTGATAATATACATATGTAATATTAAAAGTCGAAATTATAAACTCCAGCCAGCAACTAGTATCAACNGTCAATGGGCATCGTCCTCTTGAATTCTGTTTGCTATTAAGTAAGGGTGCTAATTTTGATATTAAAATGTCCACAGTTGTTCTGTTCAATCGAAAATGTTCCTGAAAATCCTTCGATCGGTATCTTGGCACAGTGTACTCAACATACCCTTTTACTTTTTCGACTGACTTGCTTTTTTCGCCACTAGATGCATTCACCTCAGCTTCAACTGCAGACATTGCACATTCTAACAATAAATCATCGTCTTCAGACTCCGAATCTAGCGATTGCAGTTGTGAAATAATAGCTACAGCCGCTGATACTAAACCGTAAGACGCCATTACTGTGTATACTTTTACCAACGTGCTAGTATGACGTCAGGCAGTGCTAGTATGACGTCAGGCAGCGCTAGGTGTCAGCTCGGCGAGCTTGGAAGCTAGCAAAAAGTATACGCACCCATAGAAACGACCAGTTTGACAATGTAATTTACACACGCTGAGATGAAGTATTTGTAACGAAGATCCGTTAAACAAAATGGAGGACGATGTAAGACAACCTTTATTACCTCATTCAATTAACAGTGATTCTTGTGATTACGATTCCGCTGGTCCGAGCGATCCGTCCTATATTAAAAGCAGACAACAACCAGTAAATAGGTAATTTTAAACGCCGTTTATATAAAAATGATTTAAATTTGTTTGGTTGATAAGCGTTTCAGACAATTTCTAATTATGTTATATTTCTTTTTATGCTTGATAAATTTTATGTTTACTCTAATATTGTATTTACTCGTGCATTTTGGTTATAGTTCATGGTTATGTTACAGATTTTGGATTTATTATTGTTAATAAATTAAGATCAGTGGATTATATGCATGTAAGCAAACTTTTTTCCATTCATATTAAGAGGAATGGTATGCTTATATGCATTTTATCTTCCATTATAATTTACAATACTGTTTATACATACAACTATAATGGATCTAGATTAAACTATATTACACTTGAACATACCATATATTAATTAATAAAAGCATTAGAAAAAAAAAAAAAACTCTATTTTTCTTTTGTTATGAAAGTAAATTCCAAAACAGATTGCTTTTAATAATTGAAATTTGGAAATAATTTTTTTGAAATAAAATTACTTTTTTAGCTGATTACNACAGTCAAAACTGAAATAGAAATGAGAAATAAGTTTATTGAAGTCCTGCAGCTAGAAAAAAATTTTTTTGGTTGATTAATAAATGAGACATACAGTACAATATACACGTAAAAATACATCAAAAAATTTAATCAGTGTTAAAATTAATACATTTTATTGTATGAAGAATAAACCGTCAGTTTATTGCTGCTTCATTTTTCGGAATTGTCTGTTTTTCATCCCTAATACTTGCTATCATTATCTTTAACCCATCAGATTATAGTGCATGAAATTAATAATACGAATGATTGATTACTCGTAATAAAATGGGGGTTATCTAACTATTTTTAAAATATTACTCTCTTACCTCTTCAACATAGAAAAATTTTTCGGTCTCAGGAGACCTTGAAATGTCCAGAAATGCAAAGAAAAATTTAGGGTTTTTATGTACTGTACTACGTACGGATGTTAATGTGTGTGGGGGACATGATTTTTTCACTCACTTTGAAGCTTAACTCCTGTGTCTTTTGGCGAAAATTTCTGAAAATTTTGCGGGGAAGTTTGTGTTAGGGGTAAATGTTTTCGAGGTAGGAAAATCGGACCATTGGTTCGGGAGATTTTAAAGGATGGACCATATATTCAGTTAGAATAAAATGGATTATCTGAAAAATTAAAAAATTAAAAAGGCGTTACTTTTCGAAACACCGTCGTATATTAATCTTCCTAAGAAACAAGAAAATTAATGTTTTATTTAAATTTTAAAAATACTTTCAAAGAGACTCCACCATTCGATGTTCGCCGAAATCTGAGCAAACATTTGGCCAATACCGAATAGTATGGATGATTTACTTGTAACTTTGCACTACAAATCTTTAGTATTTACCGTTTCCCATTTTTTATCGGTATATTGTGCCGAATAAAAAGGGAAAATCAATTGGGTATTGACCAAATGTTTGTTCAATTTGGCATTAAATTTGTAACATTGAGTTTCGATTTACCTCATAAATATGACAATTGTCAACTACTAGACATATTTTTACACAATAATATTTAAATATTTGTTATCACACTGTATTTATCAGATTATTATTATATAATTAGTTTAATTTAATTTAATGTTTGAAATAGATATTTATAGTTTATCGGCCATTTACATTTGTATCCAATTTCTGCTGTGAAACAATTATTGTTAATATCATCATCACAATATATAATAGTTCTCTATGTTGCCATTTACTTCAGTAAAAATTAGTCTGTTTAATCTAAATATTTTAACATTACAGTGAATTTAAATTAAGAATAAATTATATTAGACTACTAAATTATTCGAAGCAGATAAGAACTTGTTCACCTTCGCTATTTAATCAGTAGGTGGATCTGAATTAAGGTGGTTTGTTTTATGGTTACAATTACAATATCCAATTCTTTCACAACTTAAATTTATTTCTTTGATAATTTATTTAGTAATTTTAATGATGTCAATTCATTTTAACAGCAAAAATAAACCTAAATAAAAGAAAATCCTAAATAAAATCTCATTAAATATACATATCAATCATAGGAAAAAGTGCCAAAAATTTAATAAAATACTGTATATCTTCATTCTAAATCACTCATATTAATACATTAAAGAATATAATCTTAATTTTATGAAAATATTCATAAAAATTTCCATTATTTTAAGAAATTTTTTGCACTTTTTAATATTGGGAATCGTAAAAAGAGAGCAAGAGACAAACCAGCTTCTATGTTGTTTATTTGTTTTACTCGAAAATTTATATTTCAGTAATTGATACTGTGGCTAACAACTATTATCAATTGTCCTGCTTTATAAAATATATTACTTAACCCTATTTATCGATTGATATTATTACTGCAGCTTTCGGACTCTCAAACGTCTGATATGATAAACTGTTATTATTTAGCCCTGCTATTAAGAAATAAAACGATTCGAAAACAATTTAGTATATTAAATCTTAATATTTCGTAAAGAGATGATGATGAGTATCTTGAATATTCTATATAACATTGAATCTGCTCTATAAGAGCATATGGTTTCCTGTTTAAATTCGGAAAAATAACATTTAAAATGACGTAAAATTAGGTCAAAATGTTATAAAATCGCGTAGAGAAATTCTGATAAAAATGACCCAGTTCGTACGTATGAGATTATAGGAACGGGTCAAGGATAATTATTATACTCTAAACATTTTTTAAATGTAAATAAATACTTTTCCATTCGATTTCGCTAAGTCGCGCCGCGACACGTGATCCTGATCAGCTGATTTCGATATGTAGATTATCTTTCACCATCCAGTAAGTTTGACAACACAATTCATTCGACATGTGCACTTCGTAAAGATTCTAGTAAGCAGATTAATTAAACAGAATGGAGGATAATATGAAACAGCCTTTACTACATCCCAACGTTAATAGCGCTTATAATGACTCTTGTGACTACAATTCCTTCGGGCACAGCGATTCTTCTTATAATAAAAAGAGGCCTCAACCCATAAGGTAAAAATAAACATATTTTTTAAAATTAAAATTTAATTAATTTTAAGCCTTTTTTTTTTCTTAAATTTTGTGTAATATGAAGACACAGTGTGTGTGTGTGTGTGTGATTAAGAACGATATATATTATTAATTTTAATCTACATTTGTTTGATTTTAATATTGAATAATGTTTCGAATTGCATTAATCAAGATCTCAAAAACGATTTTAAATTTATATTTTTATTTTAAAAAAAATGGTTTTTTTCCAATGTGATTCTTTCATAGAATATTATAGATTATTTGTAATAGATAATTTTGCGTCATTTTTTTAATGATATCTTCATTTACTTTTATTATTTCAATCAATTGATACAAATGATATGCTTATCTAAAATAAAGATAGTGATGATGCTTGAAAGTGAGGTATATTTTATTATCTAATTTGAGAATATCAATAATAAAGTAAACGTTTTATGAGTTACTGTTACAAAAATTTCTGAATAGTTTAAGTGGTGCCTATTAAAAAAAGGAGATGAAAACGTTCAGTTACTTTTTTCACTTTTTTTTACTTTAAATTTATATTATTTTATATTAATGTTTACGTGAAATATATCATGGGCGCATCCAAGGGATGCTTATGGTGTTGCAAGCCTCCTCGCTCCTCTTGATACCAAAGCAATCAATTTTGAACTTTAGCAACTTTAAATTAAAAATAAATATAATAACGCATTTAGCATAACTTCAGTTAGGTAAAAATTATAGAGTAATAATTAATTAATATTCTCGAAAAATGACAGGAGCATATGCCTTGGTCTCCAAATCTTCCTTGAGCAGTACCCTTAACCTCAAAATTCAAGATATGCCATTGAAATTTATATTTTTTATATTAAAGTTTACAGTTTCAAGACAGTTTCTTGAACTCATAAACTTCGTGTAAAAAATATGGCAATCGACATACTTTTTGTTTGAGTTTTTCGTCTTAAATAAGCTCCCGAAGAGTTGATTCTGGGAGTCTTCCATTCCAAGAGTAGAAAATTTCGGGAGATTTGATATATTTTATTCTCAGCAATATCGAGATGCTTTTTTTTAAAGGAACTTGAAAATTTTTGACAAATTTCGGTAGTCTGCCGGCGAATCTGAGAGAAATAGCAATGTACCCTTAAGTAATATTAATAATCCAACTTTCAAGAATCTATCACTTTCGTAATGGAAAAATTTTGAATTTACGTTAATAAAAATGTCTTGAATATCTAAAAATTAATCCTAGAGATGGACGAACACTATCAGCAAATATTTGAACATTAAAAACTATTCGAGATTTCGAATATAACGTTGAAAAAAATAAGTTCGAATATTACAATACCTTCAATATTGTGCCAAACGTACAGACAGGAGACCTCTTCAGCACCTCCGCTTTAATTTGAGACAAGAAAGGAATCAGACTAGAACCTGAAAGTGTTCGAGTGCTTCTTTTCGTAAATAAAAGTCTGCAGTTGGCGAAAATGAGAATAATCTTTGATTAACTTATTGTAGTTAAGAAAACAGTACAAAGTTGAAAAGAAGGTATTATAAAACTCAAAGTCAAAATTAAAGTTTGTAGTTTCATTTCTTAGAATACCATTGAATACCATTGCCAGAAAGTACTTAATTCCGCAATCTGGGATCTCTGCTACAGAAAGATGGCAACATTGATTGGGAGGTTACTAGAAGGATCAATGCAGGGTGGTTAAAGTGGAAACAGGTGACAGGAATAACTTGTGACAAACGCATGCCACTTAAAATAAGAAGGCTAATATATAAAACTGTCATCAGACCCGTGCTTATGTATGGGTGCGAGTGCTGGCCGATGACAGCCACCGAAGAGAAGCGATTGCACGTGGCAGAGATGCGAATGCTGAGGTGGATGTGCAGAGTCACTAGAATGGATAGGATTAGAAATGATTACATCAGAGGAAGTTTAAAGGTAGTATCTATCTCAAAAAATAAAAAAATAAAAAGCCACAGACTGACATGGTTTGGACATGTGGTGAGAAGGAATGAGGAACATGTAACAAAAAAGGCACTAAATATGAAGGTACAGGGAGATAGAGGTAGAGGAAGACCTAAGAAGAGGTGGATTGAATGTGTAAAAACGGATATGCTGGACTGTGGAGTGGATGAAGAAACAATTAGAGATATACCAACGTGGCGTAAATTGACATTCCGGACTGACCCTAAATAATCTGGGATATAGGCCAGGAGAAGTTTCATTTCTTAGAAACTATTCGAGAAAAATGATATTCGCCCATCTCTATTAATTCCAAAATAAAAATTTATGAATTTCTTATAACTGTA